AAAAAAAAAAAAAAAAAAGAAGAATTAGCGGTCTCGGCCCTGCCTGTCACGCGATTCTCCTGTTCTCTTTTCCTGTAACACGTAACGCGACGCGAGGGATCTCTCAGCTTTGCCCCACAAGTGTTTGATAATCAGAGAAGAAAGATCACGGGCAGCAAGTCTTTTCAATTTCCTGATTTTTAACGTCACTTGGCGATGAAAGAAGAACTTTGACACGATATAGTTAAAAACGAGAGTAATTATTGCTGACGAATTGGAAAAGAAAATAGTTCTGACAGATTTACTTTACGATCAAGTAAGAGAATTTTCGATCACGAGGTAAACTAGAAATGAAAATAATTCCAATTTCCAATTGATCTCTCAATCACAAATTCGTTTCATTATTGCGCGTAAGATGGTAATAAATTTCACGTAGCTACGGTGATTACACGGTTTAATTTAACCGGTATGTGTTAATTGAGCAATTGCAATTAATCAAGTGTCTGAATATTTTCGTGCCATGAAGTAATGCATTAACGCACCAGTGGTGAAATCCCAGTGAAATTGGAGGCTACGATAAATCGATCGCGCTGTAATATAATAGAGTTAACTACATAAATACTTCGGAAGACAGATGGCTGTTGTCCACAATTTTCGCTAGAGTAAAACACAATCTAGAATTAGTAAAATACAAGTTTGGAGTATTAACGATCCCCTCGCAGTCGTCTGCGCCGCGTCACCAGCTATGCCAAGCCGGCATTACGCTAACCTTATTATTATTCACACGAACTACAATTCACTCGAGAACAATAACGTAACGGCAAGTTCCAGCCAGCGAATCGCTTACAAAAGACGTTCGAACACCCTTCGACATTACCATGAATGCAGAATTCTCCTTTCACTGCCACATCCAGTCTTACGCCCACGTCGTTGGATAATCAGGGCCATTTTGCCAATCGTGAACGTCTCTGTCTGATATTGTGAGATGCTCTCGTACTCTGTCTGTCTCGTCTCTTCTAATTCGAATGATTTTGTGTATTTTCACGAGAAACGAGAAGAGAAGTTGTAACGAACGATGATGTTGTGATGATTCGAAGGAGGGTGCACATCTCGAACGCGACGCTGAGCTTCCTGAACGGCGAGTTCGAGGTCGAGACAGCGCACGGCGAGGAGAGAGAAGAGGCACTCCAGAAGGCGGGCATCGTCACATACTTTATAGTCCGCGCGTTGAAACCCTTCAAGCCAGCTGTCACCAAGAGCCTCGCTTCGCTCACGGAGGACAACAGGAGAACGATGGACGCTAGAGACGGAAGGAACAACAACAAGGAGGACTCGGAGGAGTTTAGACAGAGGCTGAGGAAGGAGCTCGACAGTAAAAGTGAGAAATTCCTTAATGTAGAACGAAGAGAGATCGAAATTGACATTGAATTGTTCTTTTTATTAAAAAAAGAAAAAAAAAGAAGAAATTCCTGTTCGAATGTTATACGTTTCGTGCAAAGAACCATATCTGTTCTCGTGGAATTTTTTTTAAAAAGAACTGTTAGGTTGTACTTTTGAATAGTGCTGTCGTGGAACTGGTGTAATAAAAATTCCGTGGAAACAAATTTGACTTTAGAACTTTAGAACTTCAATTGAAAAGCCATTTTTATATTCGAGTACTGCTCACTGAATATTTGCCACGAAGATTGAGAATTTTTTCCAACGTTCTTCCACTTTGTCTGAAACTTTTATTTTTAAGAACATTCGTTAGAAATGTTTTTCGAAATAGTTTTACAAGTCGTACGTTTCAAACAGAACCTATTTCATAAAGTTCCTGAACTTTTTCGATCCTTGATGTTGAATGGGAATAATGGAGAATAACAATTGGAATTGCTATAGGGAAAGCGTTACCTTAGAACGTTTGAAGTAAGCACTGGTTTTTAATTAATAACAGAATCATTAGTAGAAGCTTCCACGTATACAGATGCTATATATTAGCTTTGTATAGTTCACTAATTGTAAGAAATTCTTTCAACATTATATGCCTCGAAATACTATCTCTTTCTCCTCTCTTTCTCATTCGAAATATAAGAAGACGTTAATTGCAGCTGGAGGGGCGCATTTGAAAGGCCAGGCTCACTGGTTGACGCTGCGGTTCAAGGACGCGAAGGTGGAATCCGCGTTCCACAACGCCGAGGAAGCATTCTCCCCGTTGTCGCTGCTCGGCGGGCCATTGGTGATGATTTGCACCGCCCCGGTTTGGAGGTTTCAACCCTGGGGGCCTTTCACATGGGGCGGCATCGGGGTAGTTCTGCTATTCGCCGTAGTTCTGGCCGGTGCCACGTGTTTGGCCAGTGCCGTCAAGGCTATGTGGCTGAGAAGAGCTCTGGCCCTCCTAATGACATTTTCCCTCGGTGACTTTTTGCTCCTCGACATGGTGCGTACACTTTCTTCTTCGATCTCGCTTCGTCTTTGACACGTTGTTGACGGGAAACGTCACGTTTCTCATTTTTTCTTTTTTTTTTTTTTTAAACGTCCAAGACAACGTTTTCATTCTTCAAACGGGAAGGACAGCGACTCGTTTTTTGTACGCACGTGAATGATAACTATCGAGCGAATGATAATCGTTAATTTATATGACTTTGTGTCCGCTGCATAAACCCTCGATTCAGTTTCAAGCAATTAGTCAGTATTGGAGTATCGATCTGAAAAATGTTTTGAAGAATTTTTCGCAGACTAAGAGTTTCCAGATGTATCAGATAATGTCGAGAGTGATGATAGAAATAACAATGATTTCTTCTCCCGATAAAAGAAGGAGAAAAACACGATATATTTGGAAATTCTACTAGTATTATCTAGTCAAATATGTTACTTTATAGTGTAAAATTATACATCGTAATTATATATAAATTTTCGTATTCGTACAAGGAAACGAGTGAGAGTATATTTCCTTCCGTGCCGTTCACAGTTCAACTGCGTAGTCATCGAGGAAACCATGCCGATCATCACCATAAACACCACTATAACCGTGTCACCGAAGTGTCCGTATCCTTCCTACTACTCGTACTTCGGCGTGCTTACACTCGTGGCGATCTCGATGCCGAGCTACGTGTGCTATCTGGGCAAAGCGTTCCTGATGTACAGCATCGCGGGTACCCAGTGCCTCATCAACATCTACTTACTGGATGTCAAGCTCGACTGGGAGGATTTTGCATCCTCCCCGGATAATTATGAACCGTCCCCCGTTCCGTCGAAATACTGCCTATCCGCAATTTTACTCATCGTAGCTACTTCCTTGGTCATTGTATCCAGATACGTAAGTAACGGGACAGTTTCCCGAAAAATGTGCTGCTCGAAAGTTTTTTCTTTTTTTTTTTTTTTTGATAATTGTATTTGACAGAATTGGGAGAAGATTATTTATTAAAGACTTCGGATGTTCGGACTGAGTTGAATGGTGGAACATTTAGAATTAGTCGTTCATTGAAAACTCTGTTTCAATTTTGTTCTTGAAGTGCAGCGTAATGTTTTTATATCGGAACAGTTGGATACTTTAAATGATTTTGGGAACAAATGAATATTTCTTTGGGAAATAGTCTTAAGAGGATTTGTATGAGAGGATTCGTTTCTAAAAAGGGGAAAATATTATTCAATAATGTACTATCTCCTGGCTTTTCTAAAATTAACTAATTAGCTATAACCGTATATATGGGAAAAATCGAAACGTGGAGCATCCTACACGGACGTGTTCCCATCCTGTCAATACCGTCAGCGGATTTCCACTACTGCGTACGAGTAGTTTCGGCAGATTAAAACCATCCGCGTAGAGATGTCGTGAAAAATTCAATTTCTCCTCGAACGAGGATAAATAACCGGGCCTCCGTACGAAGGCTCTCGAACAAATTCATCAAAGTCGAGGGTTGCACTTGGCCCGACAGTCGAGGACGTATCTCTCATCCCCGCATCGGTCGACACTCTTTCACGAGGGGTTGAACGCGGTTTGCATTTAACGGGAATGAAAGCCCAATAACCATCTGGTAACCGTAAAAATAAAACAAACAAACAAATAAAAAATAACAGATCCAAAATATTTCGAAAAAATATACCGATTATATTTTTAGAAAGATGTTAACCTTTCGGGGCCGAGCCCTATTGAAAAAAAAATAAATGAAAGGTTAAGTTAAGGGTAAAGTTGCTCGGTTTTTGACGACTCGACGAGAACATCGATCGATTTGCAGGCGGAGAAGTCGAGGAGGATGTTGTACCTACGAGGGAGGGAGGTGGTCGCGCAGAGGGAGAGGGCGGCGGACATGAAGCGCAGAAACGGCGCCCTCATCTACAACATACTTCCGCCTCACGTGGCCGCTTACTTCCTGTCGAGGGCGAGACACCACGACGATCTGTACAGCCAAAGCTACGCGGAGGTGGGCGTGCTGTTCGCCAGTATGCCGAACTTCGCCGATTTCTACAGCGAGGAGAGCATCAACAACCAAGGCCTCGAGTGTCTCAGGTTTTTGAACGAAGTCATATCCGACTTCGATGCGGTGAGTGTCGTCGACGAAGTCGCTTCGACATTCTCCCTTGAGATCCACTGATACAGATTGGTCGAATACTACATGTTCTTGCGATTATCGTGCAGCTATTTGGATTCTATCTGGATTCTAGACGATTAATGCTCGATGCTAGATCGCGAAAGTAGAAGAACAGATTCTCCGTTCGAGAAATAATTTCCTGATGTTGTTATTATACATGATTGTTTATAACAGCGAGGCAAAATTAAGAGGGTGGTTTTCTTTTTGATGCAGTTTCCCTAAATTCAGTGAACTTTTAAGCGGTTAAATATAACATAATTCTGGTTAAATATAAAAAAGATCGATAGAATGCTATCGTGGGATGTTTTCAATTTCCCTGGCTAAACCGTGGGAGCATAGTGAAGAAACGATAGAGAAGAAAAACAAATGATCTATCGCGAGATTACAGTTATATCTAGCCACTGGATAGAATTGTCACTATATGTGTAAAAAATTGAATTGTTCATAACTGAACCAGTTTAACGACGAAAAATTGTCGATAATTTGAACTGTTGTAACTTTGTAAAAGAAAATTACACAACAACTCACTTGAATATCTATCTTTGCGACAGCCCACATACTTTGTCTCGAAAAATATAAAAATTCAAACATTGAAAAATTCTTTTCTTTCGTTATTAGATCATCGCCATCACTTTGAAGTTTCTGAACGAGCTGCCATCAAGATTTGTTGTACAATTCTTCTTTTCAGCATTTTATTGAAATTTGAATATTAGGAATAAATTCAAGAAATCCTAATATCACACTGTTTAACTTTAATATTCAAAATTCAACGATTGTAAAGAGAAGACTCCAAACTTTAAGATCATGATAGAATTAGTCAGGAAAATTTTTTTATTGTCTTCAGAGACGTTTCTTTAACTTGAAATCATCTCTGTGAAAAAAAGGACTCAATACCGTAGAAGTATCGAATTTTCAAGTTTTAGAATGAGACCAAGTTTACAAAGTTATAACAGTACGAAGATATCGATATTGATAAGAAAAGTAACCAAGATATTGAAATATTAGAGACAAACGAAACACTCGTTGCGTAATATTCACATTCGAGATATCCAAGATATTTTTTGTCCCGTTAGATCCTCGATCAGACTAAATTCAAGGACATCATCAAAATCAAGACGATAGGCTCGACGTACATGGCTGCATCCGGAATCACCGAGTCAGCGGAGTCCGAGGATACAGCTCGATGGAATCACCTGTCCACCCTCGTCGAGTTCGCCCTGGAATTAAAGAAAGCATTGTCCAGCATCAACGAGCAAAGTTTCAATCACTTTGTTCTGAAAATGGGCATCAATCACGGTCCTGTGACCGCTGGTGTCATCGGTGCCCGGAAACCTCACTACGATATCTGGGGAAACACCGTGAACGTAGCGTCCAGGATGGAGAGTACTGGCAAAGTAGGCTGCATCCAGGTAAATATCCCATCCGGGCCTTCCCTTTTCCTCAAATATCATAAAAGCTTCGATAAAATGGAATTAATCGTGTTACGATCCTTGTACCGAGATTTTACAGTGATTTAAGAGAAAGCTGCAACCACGAAATTACGCGTACTAATAAGAATTTTTTTTATATTCTATTCAAATTTCGAATATTAAAGAGACAAGAGGGTTCGGAAATGCTCAAAAGAACGTAACAGGGTTAAATTAAAATTAAAGAAACAAATTTTGTAATAAAAAATCAATAATCAAAGAATAAAAAGTATCGCGATATAACTTTGATACATACACTCAAAACTTCTCAAAAATGTGTGGAGATTAGTTTTTCAAATTACCGTTCAAATAAGCGTCAGGATATATAAAATTTCTTGTTACGTGAAGACGATATATAATAATTCTTGAAGAATTTTACAATTTCGCGATAGTTCTTTCAAGAGTAGGTACTTCATTTTCCATAAGCAACTAAATACTTCAATTACAAATATACCAACTCCAATCCCACTTATTCAATGACTTATTAAACTTACCAACTTCAAGATCATGAAAATCATCACGCAAATTCACACTAACAGAAACATAAAAAATCGTAGGTCACGGACGAGACCCGGAAGATCCTGGAGCCGTTCGGTTTCGGCTTCGAACAACGCGGCCTGGTGTTCGTCAAGGGCAAAGGTCAGCTGCTCACCCACTACCTGGTGTCCAAGGACGGTGTGTCCTTGAACCTGGACAGCGACCTGCCGGTCGAACCCATCTATCCGATCATCTACCAGTAGGCTAATACTCGAAGGCTCTAAAAACTTCAACGCAAAAAAAAAAAAAGAACCCTTCCAC